TTAATTTTACTCAGCATATTTTCAAAAAATTATTTAATAAAATGACAAGTTTATCAAAATCTTTGCTATAGAAAAAGGGTAAAATTGCACTTAGGTAGTCTTTATGGTAGCACTTCCGGTCGCCATCTTGTTTGTGAACGCGACGTCCACAAACAAGATGGCGACCGGCGCAGCTACTTACTACATCGACATTTAAAGAAAAAAAATCTTTCATTCACCGTTGACATATTTTAAATTCCTTTTCTTCGATTTATTCGGTAAAAAAACATGGTTCGGATGATTNCCATCTTGTTTGTGAACGCGACGTCCACAAACAAGATGGCGACCGGCGCAGCTACTTACTACATCGACATTTAAAGAAAAAAAATCTTTCATTCACCGTTGACATATTTTAAATTCCTTTTCTTCGATTTATTCGGTAAAAAAACATGGTTCGGATGATTCTTTCGTAACTTCATCCTTTTTCATAGTAGAAACTTTTTCCGCATTCTTAAACACACATCTACATTCTTCCTCTTACGATTTTTGGATTTATTGGTACTGTATTTACTTCCGGGGCCGAACGTTCAATTTCTGGCTCTTTCCATACTGAAACACATCCCGCTCCTGGATAAAACTTACTCGTACGCTGAACAAACTGGTCAAACCGTTCTCCTTTATTATTATTTTTTCCCCTCCTTTTGCTCGCAAGAATCTCGTCTATTTCGACAACCTTTCCAGGTCCATCCAATTTTCATTCTGGTAAAATTAGACTATGAAACAATCATAATGTGCCGTATAAATTCGCCCAGTCAACAGCTGTTCGATTACTGGCGCCCACAGCCAAATAGTACAGTACATTCTATGCAAATTAGATGTCAAATAAACGAAAAAAATGGTTCCCCAAGAAAATTTTTCCAAATTTATGTTTAAAAATTACTTCAAATGACGAACTGTTCATTTTGCATTTATGAAATCTAAAAGAAACAGAATCGCAATCCTTTCGATAATTGACAAAACTATGTCTTCTTGTTTATAAAATCGTACTGCCTGCTGTGTTACCAGCTTAGAGGTATGAAGGAGTATATGTCAGTAGTTGCAATTTGGCACAGAGTATTAGGTGCCCAAATCATGCGCGCGTGAAAAAAAAACAGACTTGTAGGTTCTCAGAGGACCGAGAACCGAGTCAAAATAAAAATCAAAATGACGACACACACTACAAATAGGCAGTAGTGCGAGATTTGCTCATGCGTTGCTCGTTGGAAAGTTGGAAATGTGAACGGTGCGAAACTGAATTTTGACAAACGCGTGCGTTGGGAAGTTCGAAATGAGAAATCGAATTTTGACAAACGAATCTTTAAAAAAACCCCATTTATCTGTCCTGTGTTATTCCGGACATATCTCTGATCGCCACGTGCTGACCTTGACCGGTTGACCCCAGATATCTCGTTTCATCAGGAACGTTTTTGAAAGTAGATGGCGCTAGTCGTTATAATTTTATATTAAAACTAACTTCCGAAATATAATTTGTTTTCTTTTTACATATATATATATTTTGTTTGTGCAAAATAAAAAAATAATTTCGGACGATACAACAACCAGGATTATTTTTTTTTCAAAAACGGAAAATTTTCATTAGGCATCGACAAAAATTCAACCCAGGGCAACACGCAACGGAGAGAAATTTCAAAATTGGATAGGTTAATTTCACCGAAAATGCCTCGTGGTCGTGGCCGACGAAGTTTGAAAGATCGCGCTCAAAACCAACAATACCAAAGAAGATTGGAGAATGAGAACGAGACCTGCCTTGAGCGTCAAAGCGATCCCGCTTAGTAGTGAGTCTCCGAGACATAGTCTTGTCCCAAATATGGCCTTGCCGTTTTACTTGTTTAATTTACGATCACCATCACATTTCGGACAATCTGCATCTGCAGGTTGCATACCAAACTTTATGGCAAACATACCAACTGATGAAATTCTCTTGTCAAAATCAAATTCATGACATTCTGATACTAAAAAATGAAAAAAAATCTCTTGAAATACACTTTTGCCAAGAAAATTGTTGATGTTTTCAAAACTCCGCCATTACAACAATAAACGACAAAATATCAAATGTAAACTTTTGAACAAAATGATTCGCACAACAATATATAACTTTTTGAACCTGATTAATTAAATTACTCTTAACAAAGTTATAAAATGTTAGGAAATTAACCTACAACCGAAACGAGTTTAGAAATCTATAAACTAAAGACAGCGACACCTAGATTAACTTTCAAAGGACGCGTGTTGTCGAGATTCCGGAAGTGCCGCCATAGGGCTATCTAGATGCACTTCTTCCAAAGAAAAGTAAATAAAAAGTAAAAAATGAATGATTTCGATTATAAAAAAAGTGAATTGAACAATTTTTCCCTTTTTTCGCTCTGTAAGTAGTAAGAGGGCATTCTTCCATACATGTTTTCCAGCAAACGTCTAGACCAGGGTTGTCCAACTTTTTTTCTTAATGGGCCAAATTAGAAATTTACGTATATTTAGCGGGCCACAGAGTACTTTATATAAATATAAGCTTTTAAAACGTTGAAAATATGAATATCAAATTTTAATAGCAAATATATACAATTATAAAAATTCTGTATTATTGACACACTTTACCAAAAAATGAAAATGTATCTAAAAATTGAAGGTGCAGTGAGCCGCATAACCATATTAAGTGCGCCGCAGTGCGTCCCGCGGGCTGAAGGATGAACATCCCTGCCTTAGGCACATCGCACATGTGTTGTGTTACAGTATCTTAACTAAAAAAAGCAAGCATACTCTCTCCTCTTTTTCATTACCATTAATTCCCTAAATGCAGGGGTTAAGTGTTTTACTGGTTTCAAGATTTTCATCTTAATCGTGCAGTAAATCTGTATTTAACTATTTGGTAAATTGCACACAGTATATTTTAGGAGTATGTAGTTTCAATGTTGTGCCCTTATGAAGTTCTATATGATATATTCAGAGATCTTGGCACAACATACACCCTACAGATTTCATGTGAAAAAAATGTCGTAAACTTCCATGTATTCTTTATTGAGTTTCAGTAGGCCCAGCTTCTCACATGTGGTACAACCTATATAATGAAATTTTTATTTTTCTAATAAATCAAAGTTTAACCGGTTTTTTTTAAATACTACAATTGTCATGTGCCTTGCCTTTATTGACTTATATTTATTATTAATACATGGTACTACTGCATGTTCACAATGTACTACAGCATGTTATTACGTTAGAATGTTACTAAACGCACAAAGTACACTGTGCATGTACTACAACATACACAACTACAGCAATTCTTTCTTGTTAAATCAGTATCTTTCATATGACCTTAATTAGTTATTACTTTTTACATAGACTGAGACTTTAAAATCACTTTGTATTTATTATCGACATTGCTGAACGAGCTATTAATAATGAAACATAAATTAAATTAATCTTATTTTTTCGCATTAATGTGATTTATATTGAAATTTCTGTATGAATTTTATTTATAGTGTAAATATAGTGGTTGTAAGGAGTATCCAGTAACAAGAAACGATACTATTGACGATATCGAAGGAAAACGAATTTACGTTTACTTTGGTTTGGTAATAAACTTTACTAACAATTTTTATCAATTATTATGTTTTATTTAAGGAACTTCTCTGAAATGTTTGTAAATGATTTCAATTAATTTTAATAAAATAAATTATTTATTTTAAATTTTCAGCTTGAATATTTAGGCAAAAATGAAGAACACTTTTAACCATTTATCCATCTCTTCATTATTTTCACTACAAATTAGATCCAAATATATGCTTGCAAAAAATTGAATAATGAAGTCGTTCCATATGCAAAATAACTGTCATTCTTCATTTGAAAGCATAAGTCTAAAGCGTACAGTATTCCAAATAGAAACCATATTAATTGATGCATGCAGTTCTTGCAGCATTCATACATTCTGTGCACAAAACTTCAGACATGTTAACATGCCTTTGTATGTGCGTTAATGTCTGTAAATCATGTTGTGTAATTTGAAATTCACAGTACAGTCGATCCCCCCTATAACACGGTAGATACGTTCCTGTTTTTATGAATCCAGCTTTTAGGAGTCCAGCCAATCACAGCCCGGCACGTATGCAGTTTACGGACTACGGCTGTTTGAAAGGTTTCTTCCATATAATTAATCGGTTTTAGACTAATTCGACTTAACATTTTCAAAATATGTATAATTTTTCGGGAATAATCCATATAATCTATGCTATAAACGAAAAATTGTAGGATTACTTACCGAGTGTGCACCGTTGCTTAAGCTTGTTTTCGTCGTGGAGCAGCGCACTAAATGGCGGCCGCTTTTTCTGATAAGTTATTTTTCTGCGAAAAATTCGTTGAACTTTGGAAACATCATTAATAGAAATAATTTTTATGACCGTTGAATAAAAAATGTTTTTTTTTTCACAAGAAATGTATAAAATTACAGTACTGTATTAGACTTACAGTAACTAATTTCATGGGCGTAGCGAGGGGGGAGCCTGGGTGGGCACGGCCCCTCCCAGGGAACCTGGTGCCCCCCCAGGAAATCACAGCCGAAAAAGTGTTGAGTCGATTTGTAAACACCTAAAGCTAAAATAAAAGTTTTGAATACTAAAAAAAAGGTGAACGGCTTGCTCGGTGCCCAATAATGAACAATAATTTGAAATAATTCAATTTTGTGTCAGGTTGGCCTCCACTAGGCCCCCCCATAATAAAACTCTGGCTACGCCCATGACTAATTTAGGTCTATATACTGTACAGACCATAGTAAACTCAACTTACCCACCTAAACTCTCCATAGCATGTAAGTAGTTCGGCTGCTCGTCCACTATTGGTCCAGATTCGACCAATCCTGTCGCGACACGAGTCGGCGATGTCGTTTTACCGCATTTTACGAGTCTCTTTTAGCGTCTTTATACAAATACGGTCGCAATTTTTTCGCNGGATTTTTTCAATAAACATTACGTAATTTGTTTTTGCCGCCAAAATATATCGCTAGACGCACGTGACTAGTTTTAACATCTGCAGCAATTAACACATTTTAACATATTTAAAAATGAGTGCAAATATCGAAAGTAAATCTCCTGTTGTGTTTCTGACACGTACAGAAACTTTTAGTGCCTGCCATAGATTGAATAGGTAAGTAATCATCATTTATATGTAATTTTAAATCAGTTGTAATGTTATGATCATAATCGAAAGTAGTAAAAGAAAAAAAATGTTAATTTAATAAACCTGTTGAAGATTAGCCTTGCAATCAATTTACAAAATTAGTTGTAGAAGGTAAATGTTTTCCTGTTATAGCATTATGGTCATCACAGTTTGATATTGAACCAACAGTTGTAATGAAACTATTGATATTAATTATAATATGTATATTTTATCCTGTAGTATAATAAATATTAGATTTTCTGTTAAAAGTGAGTAGAAGAATTAGATCTTGGAGATGATAAAAATAATATAATATAATACATCTCTAGACTTTAAATTAAGAGATATTTACATTTAAGTCTAGCATTGACAGAAGAAGAAAATCAGAAATTATATGGAAAATGCAACAATTTAAATGGTCATGGACATAATTATAAAGGTAAATACTTAATATATAGTAATTTAATTATTTATTATCTTTATATTAAATGTTAAATTTGTGAAATTGTTTCTTGTGTTTTAATTGTATAATTTTATAATTTATTACAGTGGAAGTTACAGTAAAAGGAAAGGTAATCAATTATATATACATTATTAAAAACTTAACATATAGTCTACTCTTTCTTATAAATAACAAATTTTAAATTATAATTTAAATAAACCTTTAATTAATTTTTTAGATAAAATATTTATTAACAATAATAACCATAGATTATTTTTACATATTTAGTTAAAGGTTTGTAAAGATTTGCTTCAATCCACTTTTATTTTAAGTAGCATATATTTTTTTCTATTTCACATATAATTGATTTTAACAATTAAAGTTTTAAAAAATATTTTGTTTGAATATTGTTTATATGCCTTGTTTGTTTAATATAATTAAGATATGTTAAATGATAGCATAAATTATTGATTAAAAATTGTTTATCAGGGCTGTGGAGTTAGTACAAAAAAGCTTCAACTCAGACTGACTCTTTTATTTATACATCAATGTAGGGAATAAATGATAAATATACTAATTACATAGTTTTTATATCAATTGAAAGCATGCAATATACAATATATTTCATCACTGTCAACGTGAATTATCAGGCTACTTTCTAGACCCATAACCTATTAGTCTAAAAGCTATAGTTATGCCATTGTAACTCTACTTGTTAAAGAAATTACAAACATTCAGTAACCTTAAAGCTTATAAAAAAGATAAAACTTAGAAAATAAAAACAGTGAGATTATATTTTTATTAAAATGATATAAAGTATAAAGTAATAGGATATAATAGGAAGAAATTACAAAAGAAAATCTGGAATTTCTTTCCCTACCAGTTTTCTTCTTTTTTTCAGATTAAAGTATTACTTGAATATAAAATATAACTTGAAAAATAGATTAATCAAATTTGCTTCTGTGAAATAAGAAATTTTAAAATAAATTTAAATTGTAATATAAATAATCAATTAGGAGCCAAGATATTCCATTTTCATCAACTTCAACTCTAACTGCAGTAATTCAAGAATTGCTTTTGACTTTCACTTGACTCTACAGCACTGATATCTGTGATAAATAATTTTCGTAATTAGAGCTAAATTTGGCAAACAATACCTATATAATTTTTAAAAGTTTCTGTTTTAATAAAAATTATATTTATACACTATATATAATTCAGTTAACTCAATTAATAAAAATATTTTTTCATGTAGGTTGATAAAATAACTGGAATGGTTATGAATTTAGCTGATTTGAAAAACTACATGAATGTAAGTATTTAAAGTACAAAGCTGAAAATTTTAATTAAAGTATTTAGCTTTCTATATTTAATATAAAGTATTAGCCCAAATTTAAGTCAGTCCTGAAAATAAGTTGTGTGACAATTTTGGAATCCTTATTTTCTGAAAAATTAGAACCTTTATATAAATTAACTTATTATATTAATTTTACTTGCATATGAAAACATTAGCAATTTATATTAAAAAAAATTCGGAAAGTCATTGAAACAATACTTTATCAGAACTTTCATTGTCATCATGCTGTTTCCTGTTTAATTGTAATTATTACTGATTCCTGTTTTATTGTCATTATGACCTTTAGCCTCTTTGAATATTACATTATCCTCTGTTCTGTCCAAGTTATTGGTAACACAACATTTCTTAAAGCCTTTTACAAAATAGTGTCTTCACCAATAACCTTTTGTAATTCAACTGTTATTCTACAAGAATATATGGAATTTTTGTTACTTTCTATCTATGCCATTGATTATGAAAATTAGTTATGTTCAATTACATTTCTTTCCTTTCAAAATTACTTTAGTTAGAAATAAAAATTTTTTGAATTTGTATTTAGAAATATATGAAAGCCAATTAGCAAAAATTAATTTTTGATTGTTCTCAGCTTTACAAATCACATTTAAATTACACTTAATCAATCAGAAAATTGTATTCAAATTGACTTTTTTGACATATATTTCTCAAATGAATATTCTTATCATCATCATCATCATCATAATTTACTGGTTAAAAGATAAGCAATTATATTTTTAAGCTAAACATTATAGTAATAATCAATGTAAAATCTTCAAAAAAGTGAATAATAAAACTTTGCTTCATAAGGCTATAAATAATATTTATAGTATGAAATTGTTTATTTTATTTCTGAAAATTAAAAGAAAATGGTAATTTTTAACATTTCATTAACTTAATGAAAACAAGACTAATATTTCTTGAAATATCTAAAATAAAATATAATTACAATTAAAAAAACTCTTGCGTGCCTTGCACATATTGACTTTGTAAAGTAGAAAGAAGTTTTAAGAAATATTATTTTTTTTTTGCTGAAAAAAATAAATTTTGAATAGAAAAGTAAATTCAAAATATTGATTACTAACCTGTTTTTTTTATAAATTTTCCTATTAAATATAAGTGTGTTACATAATTGCTATTATATATTTCTAATCAAAACATGTGAAAATTGTGTATACCAGATTAAACCTTGATTAAGGCAAAATTAATTAAATTATTAGCTATTAAATTAATGATTGAGATATGATTATGTCCTGTATATATTACAACTGAATTTTAACTATTACAAAATTTAATTGTTGATAAATTTATTAAATTATATAATGATTTACATAAAATTAACATAATAGTTTTGTAGATATATGAATTTGATGATATAATTTAATTTTGCTTATATTATTTAAAGCTCTTATCATCACCAATCATTCCAAAACCGTTCTTCAAGCTTATTTGAATTTTCAATGCTTTTGTAATGCATTTGATATGTAAGATTAAATAAATAATTTAGAGTCTTTACTTTTTATAAAATATTTTAATAATAATTTATTCATTTTTATTATTATGTTAGCTCTTATCTTTGGGTCAAGGACAGAAATTTTGTTGTTTAGAAAATCATTTCTTCTCTCTGCAAGCAATGCAATGTTCTTTTACAAAAATTAAAAAAAAAAATTATTATTGTGATTGTGACATAAATATAACATTCAGTTCAAATTGGTGTTGTGTTAGACCAAACTCAAAGCATTAGCTACTAAAAATAGTTATGTTGATATGCTATTAGTCAGGAACTTTTTGAACACAGATGTATATTCTATGTTATGTTTATTTAATATTGTTGTTTTTTGTAGCATAATAATAATTACTAAGGTAAATATTATTATACTCTAGTACTTAGTAAATATTATTACAGTACTTAAAAGTCTGGAAATATTAGATCTTAATAATAATATTTACCTTAGTAAATATTATGAAAGCATAAAATTTTTAACACTTTATTTCATACTTTCATGTTTTTGAAAGACAAACTAATCTTACATCAGGTTGTTTCTATTAAGCACTATATATTACTATATCACATTTTTTAAAAAGAAAAACAATTATGAGAAAGTGTTGAATTTCTGTAAAAAGCTCTCTCTCCATATTTTTGCAGAATAACTTCATATTGTCCATAAGCAGAAGTAAGAAAATAATCTCCTTATCAAAAGAAAGTTTTTGCACTCTTCCATAATATAACAAAATCTTTTATTTTAGAAGACTAAATTTTAAAATAAATTCCTATTTTTAATTAATGCAATTCTTAAAAGGGGGGAAGTACAGTAAAACTTGTCCAAAATGGAATCTTAATAAAACAGAAACCTACCAAACTGGAAAAAATATTCAGTACCAAACAATTCTGATTTACACAGGTTTCACTGTACAAACATTTTTTAAAATAGTTGTGAAATATTCCATATGAAGCTTTATAACAAATATATGTAAAAATTTTCAATTAAATGTTTTTTTAATACTTGTCTTAAACCAGAAGACTGTTTTAAATAAAAGTTGTTAGTTTCTGTATCTCAAATTTATACTATATTTCTGCACATATTAAGGGTGTGCTCTCAAATATATAAATTACTTTTTCACAGTTTTGAAGTTTTGAAGTATGTAGTTTTGCTTTGCTTATAAGAGCATTCTCTAATACATGTCAGCATGTTTTGACACTGCATTGCTGTATAAATGTAAATATAATGATAAAGTAACTATTTAGTGAGATCTTTGTAATAACCATTATTAAAAGAAAAAGCCAAAATAAAAAAAATTATTCCAATACTATAAAGTTTCTTTTTAAATAGAAGATGTTTTTAACAACTGCTACTTTACAACTGATTAATATTAGACAAAAATAAACACTGCAAAATCTAACAAACCAGTGAGAAAATTATACACAAAGTGTGAATGTTTTTGCCTGTGTTAAATGGGCATTGTCCAGCAATAAACTGGGGATTGTGGAACATGTGTGGGGGGAAAGGGGTGTATTATGTAAGAAGAGAGGAGGGGATATATATTTTATAGAAAGACTTCCAGGCAATGGGGAAGGAGTCAATGTCCTGATAGTTTATGGCTGTGTGATCTTTTTAAGTTACTTTGTGGAATGTAGTATTGACTTTACCCCATCTATAAGGGCTTGTTCCTATACAAGGTCTGTCCCAAAAGTAAGTGTACTGATTTTTATTTCAAAATATACAAGAGTTACATCAAACTACAAACAATCTCCTTCAAAGTACTGTACAATCCTTGTGAGGTCACACAGTAGTTCCAAAGTTTTTTCCTCTGGTTTTTTCCTCTAGCAGTATTAGAAATTACTCAGCAAACCACAAAACATAACATACAAATAACATCTTATCCTTGCCGAGAAAATATTTATTTCATAAAAACAAATGTTTTCAGCCTGATTCACAGGCCATCATCAGGTTGTGAACAAAATTAAACTAAAGCATTCCAAAATAGAATATAAATTCAAAAAATTAAATAACTAATGGAATAACAAAAATAAAATAAAAATTAATCATCTCAATCTTCTCAATGGTGCTTTTTTTATTAATAGAAGAGAATTCAATTACATCACATGAATTTTGAACTGTTCAAATTAATCATGTAAAAAATATAAAATAAGAATGTAAGATTGTTTACTAACAATATCTCTAATAAAATTAAATTACTAATTTAATTAGTTGGAGTTCTTACTTGTTAGTAAATTTTTAATCATAAACTTCCATGTAGAGGGAAGACTTTCTGCATCCCTCGCATTCAAACATCCTTCATGTAGTTTACTCTTATAAATTTGGATATTTTCTGTTGTTGCCACCAAATATGGGGAATATACAGGTTTGATGATGGCTGCATCATTCCATTTGACTACAGAGTCTTGCATCTGTGCCATTTGTGACAGAATTGTTGCATTGGACTCTTTTCTTATATTTATGTTCTTTGAATCTAATTCCCAAACTTCTCGTGGTTACTCCAATATAATCTTTTTTAATATCCAATTGCTTATTTTCGTATGGAATTCTGTAAACTCCCGGTTTTTCTTCTGACTTTATATTCTGTTTTGGAATGATTTAGTTCTAATTTCATTCACAACTTGATGATGGCCTGTGAATCAGGCTGAAAACATTTGTTTTTATGAAATAAATATTTTCTCGGCAAGGATAAGGTGTTATTTGTATGTTATGTTTTGGTTGTAGCAGTATTTGAAGTCATTTTCTGTAAGGGTGTTTAGTTCGTCAGTTTAACTTTTTTGATGTTTTCCACTATCCTGAAATGATGACCTTTCAACTTGGATTTTATCTTAGGGAATAGGTAGAAGTCACATGGAACTAGGTCCAGACTGTAGGGAGGTTGTGGGCATGTGAGGATTTTTCTTGGCCAAAAACTCTCGCATTGATAGCTCTGTGTGAGCAAACACATTATTGTGGTGCAGCACCCAATCTGCAATGTCCCTGCAGACTTGCTTGACCCATTTTTGAAGTCATTACAAGACATCTTTGTAGAAGGCCTGATTAACTGTCCTGAAGGTAAAAATTCTTTGTGCACAGTTCCACAGCTATAAAAAAAAATAAGCATTGTCTTTACCCTAAATCTTTATGCCATCTAAGAACCATGTTTCTTGATAAAGTGGCATCTCCATAAGCTTTGGTTAAATCTGCAAATGTCTTGGTTGTAGATTCTTGAGTTTCACACAAAACTTGATACCGTAACATTGAGATTTTTCTTTATTTCAAACGTAATGATGTTTTAAAACACTATCTTACACAAACAGAGATTGTGCACATTTGACTTAACTGATCAACTTGAAACAGGTCTAGATATGCTGCTAAGATATCTAGCAATGCAAAAATACCAATTAATGATATGTTAAGCTGCACAGTCATTAAATAAAAAATCAGTACACTTACTTTTAGGACAGACCATGTACTTGCATATAAGAACATGCTCACATACAAGGACAAAAATATAGTATAGATCTAATACTTTATATATGTAATGTGTATGTATATCATTTATTACATGAATCAAAAAAGTTTAAAAATGGAGTGAAATCCAAAAAATACCAAAAGTATTTAAAACAAATTCTCAATTTTTTAAAATAGATTGAATTTGAGTTGATTATATGTAATAATCAAATTTTCAGTTGTTTCTTCTTTTANTCACCACCCGGCAGCCCCATTGTGGGCCTGGCCGAACCCATAATGGGTTTGCAAAAAGAGGCTCTCTTAGTGCCCACAGGGCAGAAAAAGTTAAAAAAAGACAGTAAAAGAAGAAATTATACTTACACAAAATAAAAATAAATTCAATGCGATTTTTGGCATGGCATTTCTTTTATAATATTGTCAATATCTGCTTTTATGGTACTAGTCTTAATTGTAAGAATGTTAGTTAAGTAAAAGTAAACCATTTTTAAATTATTCCTATAAATTTAAGAAAACATGCAAGCTAAACCTTATACTGTATTTTCACTTTATTCTCACTACATATTAGGACAACTAAAGGAAATAATTTATTCCTGCATGACTTCTTCCGACATAACGTAATCGATCAGCATTTCTATTTTGTGGGTTGACGTCATTCAGCTGACCAATCAGCGCGTTGTGCCATCTGGATATTTAGTCGCACGTGCTTGGAAGCTGTCCCGCATTCGACAATACAGCGCTTCCATTCCGCCATTGATATTCGAATATACAATCGCAATCTTATCGTTTTTTTCACATGTAGTATAGAAATTTGTAATAAGATACATAATGCGGTTATAATAAGATATTAATTTTAATTAATTCAAAGTATGTTAAAATATGAAAGTAATCACACAATATGTCTTTATATTATAGAAAATACAAGGGAAGCGGCTTCCAAGGACGGCACGCCACTGTATTTTAGCAAGCCCAGTAGCGTGGCGTAGTGGGGGAGGCGGGGGCGGCCGGCCCCGGGCTGCACTTTTTAGGGGGCGGCAAAATTTCACAATAAATAATAATAATATCTTGTAAACATTTGAACCATTTCATTTCATATTTTCGTCGCATTTTTTTTTTTTGTACGACTCATTCGTATTCATATACACCTGCAATATCCAACAATATCCAATAGAGCTAAGTCATCTAGGTTACTTACGTTACTTCTATCCAAGTCTCCCTAGTCACTAACTGTTACTGATTTGTGATTACTGTACTGATGATGCACTGCACATTATTTTTCGCATTGCAAAATGACATATGCATGCGTCAGGAACTTCTTTTCGAACAAACCTCACCTGCCGTCCGGGTCAGAGATTTTAATTAAAAAAGGTGGCAACACTAGCACGGAATTTTTCATTACTTATTCTGTGACGAAACTGAATTTTAGTCTTTTAAATTGAGATACTTAAATAAGGGGACGGCGAATTTTCCTTTGCCCCGGGCGGCTGACACCCACGCTACGCTACTGAGCAAGCCCATTATAGGTTCGGTTAGACCCACAATGGGGCGGCCGGGTGGTGAGGAACGAAGCTCGACGTATCCGGACGGACCAACCCCAAAAAATTCCAAGGAATTTTCGACCCGTTATCCGGGTCCTGCAGAACGGTAGGCTGCCATCTTGACCGCTCGGCCTACCGCTGTAGGAAACCTGGGATGTTCAATCCAGAAGTCGATCCCAGATCTCCAGAGTCAAGTCGAAAACCCCAGAAATTTTTTAAGGAGGTCGTTCCCATTCCTCACCATTCGGTCACCCCATTATGGGCCTGGCCGAATCCATAATGGATTAGCTAAAAAAATATTTTGTGTTCAAGGACTGGAAAGAACTCAGAAAAGATTCCCACTGACTGCAGGTAGAATTGTTCTACCTGCACTAGACGGTAAAATTGCTGTATTAAGACAATAGCACGTTTTGATTCCAGAATAGAACGATAAATTAAAATTAATTAAAATTTAATTTTCTTCATTATTGAGGGGAAAGGAAAATACTGTACTACATATGATAATTTTTCCAGCGCCCTCTATGGATTTTTTCAATAAACATTACGTAATTTGTTTTTGCCGCCAAAATATATCGCTAGACGCACGTGACTAGTTTTAACATCTGCAGCAATTAACACATTTTAACATATTTAAAAATGAGTGCAAATATCGAAAGTAAATCTCCTGTTGTGTTTCTGACACGTACAGAAACTTTTAGTGCCTGCCATAGATTGAATAGGTAAGTAATCATCATTTATATGTAATTTTAAATCAGTTGTAATGTTATGATCATAATCGAAAGTAGTAAAAGAAAAAAAATGTTAATTTAATAAACCTGTTGAAGATTAGCCTTGCAATCAATTTACAAAATTAGTTGTAGAAGGTAAATGTTTTCCTGTTATAGCATTATGGTCATCACAGTTTGATATTGAACCAACAGTTGTAATGAAACTATTGATATTAATTATAATATGTATATTTTATCCTGTAGTATAATAAATATTAGATTTTCTGTTAAAAGTGAGTAGAAGAATTAGATCTTGGAGATGATAAAAATAATATAATATAATACATCTCTAGACTTTAAATTAAGAGATATTTACATTTAAGTCTAGCATTGACAGAAGAAGAAAATCAGAAATTATATGGAAAATGCAACAATTTAAATGGTCATGGACATAATTATAAAGGTAAATACTTAATATATAGTAATTTAATTATTTATTATCTTTATATTAAATGTTAAATTTGTGAAATTGTTTCTTGTGTTTTAATTGTATAATTTTATAATTTATTACAGTGGAAGTTACAGTAAAAGGAAAGGTAATCAATTATATATACATTATTAAAAACTTAACATATAGTCTACTCTTTCTTATAAATAACAAATTTTAAATTATAATTTAAATAAACCTTTAATTAATTTTTTAGATAAAATATTTATTAACAATAATAACCATAGATTATTTTTACATATTTAGTTAAAGGTTTGTAAAGATTTGCTTCAATCCACTTTTATTTTAAGTAGCATATATTTTTTTCTATTTCACATATAATTGATTTTAACAATTAAAGTTTTAAAAAATATTTTGTTTGAATATTGTTTATATGCCTTGTTTGTTTAATATAATTAAGATATGTTAAATGATAGCATAAATTATTGATTAAAAATTGTTTATCAGGGCTGTGGAGTTAGTACAAAAAAGCTTCAACTCAGACTGACTCTTTTATTTATACATCAATGTAGGGAATAAATGATAAATATACTAATTACATAGTTTTTATATCAATTGAAAGCATGCAATATACAATATATTTCATCACTGTCAACGTGAATTATCAGGCTACTTTCTAGACCCATAACCTATTAGTCTAAAAGCTATAGTTATGCCATTGTAACTCTACTTGTTAAAGAAATTACAAACATTCAGTAACCTTAAAGCTTATAAAAAAGATAAAACTTAGAAAATAAAAACAGTGAGATTATATTTTTATTAAAATGATATAAAGTATAAAGTAATAGGATATAATAGGAAGAAATTACAAAAGAAAATCTGGAATTTCTTTCCCTACCAGTTTTCTTCTTTTTTTCAGATTAAAGTATTACTTGAATATAAAATATAACTTGAAAAATAGATTAATCAAATTTGCTTCTGTGAAATAAGAAATTTTAAAATAAATTTAAATTGTAATATAAATAATCAATTAGGAGCCAAGATATTCCATTTTCATCAACTTCAACTCTAACTGCAGTAATTCAAGAATTGCTTTTGACTTTCACTTGACTCTACAGCACTGATATCTGTGATAAATAATTTTCGTAATTAGAGCTAAATTTGGCAAACAATACCTATATAATTTTTAAAAGTTTCTGTTTTAATAAAAATTATATTTATACACTATATATAATTCAGTTAACTCAATTAATAAAAATATTTTTTCATGTAGGTTGATAAAATAACTGGAATGGTTATGAATTTAGCTGATTTGAAAAACTACATGAATGTAAGTATTTAAAGTACAAAGCTGAAAATTTTAATTAAAGTATTTAGCTTTCTATATTTAATATAAAGTATTAGCCCAAATTTAAGTCAGTCCTGAAAATAAGTTGTGTGACAATTTTGGAATCCTTATTTTCTGAAAAATTAGAACCTTTATATAAATTAACTTATTATATTAATTTTACTTGCATATGAAAACATTAGCAATTTATATTAAAAAAAATTCGGAAAGTCATTGAAACAATACTTTATCAGAACTTTCATTGTCATCATGCTGTTTCCTGTTTAATTGTAATTATTACTGATTCCTGTTTTATTGTCATTATGACCTTTAGCCTCTTTGAATATTACATTATCCTCTGTTCTGTCCAAGTTATTGGTAACACAACATTTCTTAAAGCCTTTTACAAAATAGTGTCTTCACCAATAACCTTTTGTAATTCAACTGTTATTCTACAAGAATATATGGAATTTTTGTTACTTTCTATCTATGCCATTGATTATGAAAATTAGTTATGTTCAATTACATTTCTTTCCTTTCAAAATTACTTTAGTTAGAAATAAAAATTTTTTGAATTTGTATTTAGAAATATATGAAAGCCAATTAGCAAAAATTAATTTTTGATTGTTCTCAGCTTTACAAATCACATTTAAATTACACTTAATCAATCAGAAAATTGTATTCAAATTGACTTTTTTGACATATATTTCTCAAATGAATATTCTTATCATCATCATCATCATCATAATTTACTGGTTAAAAGATAAGCAATTATATTTTTAAGCTAAACATTATAGTAATAATCAATGTAAAATCTTCAAAAAAGTGAATAATAAAACTTTGCTTCATAAGGCTATAAATAATATTTATAGTATGAAATTGTTTATTTTATTTCTGAAAATTAAAAGAAAATGGTAATTTTTAACATTTCATTAACTTAATGAAAACAAGACTAATATTTCTTGAAATATCTAAAATAAAATATAATTACAATTAAAAAAACTCTTGCGTGCCTTGCACATATTGACTTTGTAAAGTAGAAAGAAGTTTTAAGAAATATTATTTTTTTTTTGCTGAAAAAAATAAATTTTGAATAGAAAAGTAAATTCAAAATATTGATTACTAACCTGTTTTTTTTATAAATTTTCCTATTAAATATAAGTGTGTTACATAATTGCTATTATATATTTCTAATCAAAACATGTGAAAATTGTGTATACCAGATTAAACCTTGATTAAGGCAAAATTAATTAAATTATTAGCTATTAAATTAATGATTGAGATATGATTATGTCCTGTATATATTACAACTGAATTTTAACTATTACAAAATTTAATTGTTGATAAATTTATTAAATTATATAATGATTTACATAAAATTAACATAATAGTTTTGTAGATATATGAATTTGATGATATAATTTAATTTTGCTTATATTATTTAAAGCTCTTATCATCACCAATCATTCCAAAACCGTTCTTCAAGCTTATTTGAATTTTCAATGCTTTTGTAATGCATTTGATATGTAAGATTAAATAAATAATTTAGAGTCTTTACTTTTTATAAAATATTTTAATAATAATTTATTCATTTTTATTATTATGTTAGCTCTTATCTTTGGGTCAAGGACAGAAATTTTGTTGTTTAGAAAATCATTTCTTCTCTCTGCAAGCAATGCAATGTTCTTTTACAAAAATTAAAAAAAAAAATTATTATTGTGATTGTGACATAAATATAACATTCAGTTCAAATTGGTGTTGTGTTAGACCAAACTCAAAGCATTAGCTACTAAAAATAGTTATGTTGATATGCTATTAGTCAGGAACTTTTTGAACACAGATGTATATTCTATGTTATGTTTATTTAATATTGTTGTTTTTTGTAGCATAATAATAATTACTAAGGTAAATATTATTATACTCTAGTACTTAGTAAATATTATTACAGTACTTAAAAGTCTGGAAATATTAGATCTTAATAATAATATTTACCTTAGTAAATATTATGAAAGCATAAAATTTTTAACACTTTATTTCATACTTTCATGTTTTTGAAAGACAAACTAATCTTACATCAGGTTGTTTCTATTAAGCACTATATATTACTATATCACATTTTTTAAAAAGAAAAACAATTATGAGAAAGTGTTGAATTTCTGTAAAAAGCTCTCTCTCCATATTTTTGCAGAATAACTTCATATTGTCCATAAGCAGAAGTAAGAAAATAATCTCCTTATCAAAAGAAAGTTTTTGCACTCTTCCATAATATAACAAAATCTTTTATTTTAGAAGACTAAATTTTAAAATAAATTCCTATTTTTAATTAATGCAATTCTTAAAAGGGGGGAAGTACAGTAAAACTTGTCCAAAATGGAATCTTAATAAAACAGAAACCTACCAAACTGGAAAAAATATTCAGTACCAAACAATTCTGATTTACACAGGTTTCACTGTACAAACATTTTTTTAAAATAGTTGTGAAATATTCCATATGAAGCTTTATAACAAATATATGTAAAAATTTTCAATTAAATGTTTTTTTAATACTTGTCTTAAACCAGAAGACTGTTTTAAATAAAAGTTGTTAGTTTCTGTATCTCAAATTTATACTATATTTCTGCACATATTAAGGGTGTGCTCTCAAATATATAAATTACTTTTTCACAGTTTTGAAGTTTTGAAGTATGTAGTTTTGCTTTGCTTATAAGAGCATTCTCTAATACATGTCAGCATGTTTTGACACTGCATTGCTGTATAAATGTAAATATAATGATAAAGTAACTATTTAGTGAGATCTTTGTAATAACCATTATTAAAAGAAAAAGCCAAAATAAAAAAAATTATTCCAATACTATAAAGTTTCTTTTTAAATAGAAGATGTTTTTAACAACTGCTACTTTACAACTGATTAATATTAGACAAAAATAAACACTGCAAAATCTAACAAACCAGTGAGAAAATTATACACAAAGTGTGAATGTTTTTGCCTGTGTTAAATGGGCATTGTCCAGCAATAAACTGGGGATTGTGGAACATGTGTGGGGGGAAAGGGGTGTATTATGTAAGAAGAGAGGAGGGGATATATATTTTATAGAAAGACTTCCAGGCAATGGGGAAGGAGTCAATGTCCTGATAGTTTATGGCTGTGTGATCTTTTTAAGTTACTTTGTGGAATGTAGTATTGACTTTACCCCATCTATAAGGGCTTGTTCCTATACAAGGTCTGTCCCAAAAGTAAGTGTACTGATTTTTATTTCAAAATATACAAGAGTTACATCAAACTACAAACAATCTCCTTCAAAGTACTGTACAATCCTTGTGAGGTCACACAGTAGTTCCAAAGTTTTTTCCTCTGGTTTTTTCCTCTAGCAGTATTAGAAATTACTCAGCAAACCACAAAACATAACATACAAATAACATCTTATCCTTGCCGAGAAAATATTTATTTCATAAAAACAAATGTTTTCAGCCTGATTCACAGGCCATCATCAGGTTGTGAACAAAATTAAACTAAAGCATTCCAAAATAGAATATAAATTCAAAAAATTAAATAACTAATGGAATAACAAAAATAAAATAAAAATTAATCATGTAAAAAATATAAAATAAGAATGTAAGATTGTTTACTAACAATATCTCTAATAAAATTAAATTACTAATTTAATTAGTTGGAGTTCTTACTTGTTAGTAAATTTTTAATCATAAACTTCCATGTAGAGGGAAGACTTTCTGCATCCCTCGCATTCAAACATCCTTCATGTAGTTTACTCTTATAAATTTGGATATTTTCTGTTGTTGCCACCAAATATGGGGAATATACAGGTTTGATGATGGCTGCATCATTCCATTTGACTACAGAGTCTTGCATCTGTGCCATTTGTGACAGAATTGTTGCATTGGACTCTTTTCTTATATTTATGTTCTTTGAATCTAATTCCCAAACTTCTCGTGGTTACTCCAATATAATCTTTTTTAATATCCAATTGCTTATTTTCGTATGGAATTCTGTAAACTCCCGGTTTTTCTTCTGACTTTATATTCTGTTTTGGAATGATTTAGTTCTAATTTCATTCACAACTTGATGATGGCCTGTGAATCAGGCTGAAAACATTTGTTTTTATGAAATAAATATTTTCTCGGCAAGGATAAGGTGTTATTTGTATGTTATGTTTTGGTTGTAGCAGTATTTGAAGTCATTTTCTGTAAGGGTGTTTAGTTCGTCAGTTTAACTTTTTTGATGTTTTCCACTATCCTGAAATGATGACCTTTCAACTTGGATTTTATCTTAGGGAATAGGTAGAAGTCACATGGAACTAGGTCCAGACTGTAGGGAGGTTGTGGGCATGTGAGGATTTTTCTTGGCCAAAAACTCTCGCATTGATAGCTCTGTGTGAGCAAACACATTATTGTGGTGCAGCACCCAATCTGCAATGTCCCTGCAGACTTGCTTGACCCATTTTTGAAGTCATTACAAGACATCTTTGTAGAAGGCCTGATTAACTGTCCTGAAGGTAAAAATTCTTTGTGCACAGTTCCACAGCTATAAAAAAAAATAAGCATTGTCTTTACCCTAAATCTTTATGCCATCTAAGAACCATGTTTCTTGATAAAGTGGCATCTCCATAAGCTTTGGTTAAATCTGCAAATGTCTTGGTTGTAGATTCTTGAGTTTCACACAAAACTTGATACCGTAACATTGAGATTTTTCTTTATTTCAAACGTAATGATGTTTTAAAACACTATCTTACACAAACAGAGATTGTGCACATTTGACTTAACTGATCAACTTGAAACAGGTCTAGATATGCTGCTAAGATATCTAGCAATGCAAAAATACCAATTAATGATATGTTAAGCTGCACAGTCATTAAATAAAAAATCAGTACACTTACTTTTAGGACAGACCATGTACTTGCATATAAGAACATGCTCACATACAAGGACAAAAATATAGTATAGATCTAATACTTTATATATGTAATGTGTATGTATATCATTTATTACATGAATCAAAAAAGTTTAAAAATGGAGTGAAATCCAAAAAATACCAAAAGTATTTAAAACAAATTCTCAATTTTTTAAAATAGATTGAATTTGAGTTGATTATATGTAATAATCAAATTTTCAGTTGTTTCTTCTTTTAGAATAAATTATTTTATCTGTCGTTTTAATAATTATAGATATTTTAAAATAATAGTTTTAGATAATACTTCTTCTTTAATTATTATTAGTTTTGTGTTAAAATTTATAATTTAGATATTGTTACCAAATTTTTATTCTAAATCAGTTAATTAAATAATACTTAATTATAATTTAATTTTGAACAAAATTTTATTTATAGATAGCAATTATGGATATATTAGATCATAAAAATCTGGATCAAGACATACCATATTTCAAAAATAAAGTCAGGTAAATAATTAACTTTTTTAAAAATTTTAATTATACTTTCAAAAATAGAAAACTGAATTATCCATATCATCAGGGTCCTTATTCAGATATATTATAAATACAGGAAATTTTATAATTAATGAATTTAGAGGATCAATATTTTCAGTGAATATAGGGAGAATTTACCATACCTATGAAGAATAAAAACAAATGATCTGTTATGACTTGAAGTATAAAATGCATTTAGAAATAAACTTGCCTAATAAATTGTGAGAAAAGCTAAAAATATATGACACTTAATTTCTTTGCACCTGTTGTAAGCCATTTATAATAATGCCACAGGCTGTCATACTAATGGCCATGTTGCTAGAAATCAACCAAGGCTCATGCAAATGTTTATCAAATAGTGGCAAAAACCACAATTTTGTTGCAAATGAAAGCTAAGTCTAAACCTTCAGTTTTTAATTTTAACAGTCATTATTTTTTAATGTCAAAAATCAGCATATAGAGGATAAAAAGATGAGAATAAATGTTTTTAATAAAAAAAGTTGTGACATTGATGTAAAATCTAATTTTGAATAAAATCAAATTTTATTCAAAATTAGCTTAATTGGTGAGAAATTGTAGGATCTGGCAATTTACCCTGTGTCTATTCAAAGCCATCTATAATTATTGAAGATGGTAATACTCAATTGGAGTTAGTGTCCTTGACCTCTCTGCAAACAAACATTTTCAATTTAATCTTCTGCAATATGAATGGTAGGAGTTTGAAATAAAGAGACTTTTACCAGACAATTTTGACATATGTTTTTTATATGGCATAATAAGCATCATATGTTTGCATACTATACAAACAAAATCATGAATTATAATACTTTAAACCAAATTTGGTTATTTTATAATTTCAAGTATTACAGTATTGGTCCAAATATAAGTTGATTCCCAATTTTGGAATCATTACTTTTTGAAAAAAATTGGGATCTGAATATAAGTCAACTTTTTATTGTTAATTTTATTTGCATATAAAGAATTATCAATTTGCATTAAAAAATTTGGAAAGTTATTGAACCACTACTTTATAAGAACTTTCATTGTCATCTTTACTATTTCCTGTTTTATTGTCATGACCTTTAGCCTTCTTGAATATTACATTATCCTCTGTTCTGTCCAAATTGTTGATAACACAAGATCGTTGGTAAAGACACTATTATGTAAAGGGCATTTCTTAAAGCCCTTTACATAATACAGTATCACCAACAATCTTTTATAATTCAACTGTTATTGTACAAGAATATATGGAATGTTTGTTACTTTCTATCTATGCCATTGATTATGAAAATTAGCTATGTTCAATTACATTTCTTTCCTTTCAAAATTACTTTAGTTAGAAATAAAAATTTTTTTGGATTTTGTATTTAGAAATATATGGAAATCAATCAGAAAAAATGAATTTTTGATTGTTCTGTTAGTAATTTTTACAAATCACATTTAAATCACACTTAATCAATCACAAAATTGTACTCAAATGATTTGTAAATATAACATATACAGGGTGTATCAGAATGACGTTTTAAAATTTTGGGGGATTGTAGAGGATGAAATTTTGAACATTTTGATATAAGAAACCTATAGCCAGAAATTTGAACTAAAGTGTCTACAGTGGTAGGAAGTCTTGACCGCCCTTCACTTTGGTAGCTACCTTCTGTCCATTGACGTCATGCTATTGCTGTGGATGGAAGACTGTAAATACACAACTACAGTGGTCTAACTGAGCCTGTGTACAGGACGTTGTGTACTTAGTGCTTGTCATCCTTCAGGTCACCATCAGAGGGGAGTGTGGCATCTTACAGGGAGTCGGACAAAACATGGTTTGTCATTGCACATTATGTAACGAAGTTGGTGGTTGTCACATCAAACATTTACTCTAAAGTTGTGCAGCCACTGATTTGATGTACAGTTTGATTGCCCTCTACTATTTTGTCAATAAAACTTGTCAAAAATACTGTATTCTGCTGTTTCATTCAGCATACCGACTGCATAGAATGTGTAAAGTGCTGTAGACACTTTAGTTCAAATTTCTGGCTATAGTTCCTTATATCAAAATTTCATCCTCTACAATCCCCCAAATTTTTAAAACATCATTCTGATACACCCTGTATATCTTTTTATAAAGAAAGATATATATGTAATAAGTGAGAAATTATAACTTATTGATTCTTTTTTTGTTGATAGCAATAAAAGTGAAGTTAATAATAGTTAGAGAGCCAAAGTGAGACAATATTCTATGCATTGGATAGTAGGCTGCCCAGCATATATGTCATGCCAGGGAAAGGAAGCTTTCTTGCATATTTCAGCATATTTCATGTGTATTCCACAAAATGTACTTTCAGTTTTATGACTATTGAAAACAAAAACGAAACATTTTCATGTTTGCTTGCCTTAATTTTTTATAACTGTCTAAGGCATTTTTTTATAAAGTCTACAATATGAGAAAAAAAACTCAGCCTGTTCCAACTTTAGATGATGATTAAAAACATTCAAACAACACTAAAATCAAGAAAGGATTATTTTATTCTTACATTTCTTCATAAAATTATAAGTTATCTATCAAATGCATTTTGACACTTCAGCTTCTTCGGTGATAATACAATTCAGTCTATGTGCAGTATATTTGTAATTATGTTGGGATAGTTTTGTAATTACAAATCTATCCCAACATGCATTAACATTAATGCCATTATTTAAATTAATATTACAGTAGAACCTTGCTTAACAAGCATAATTCATTCCAGAATCTTACTCGTAATGCGAAACACTCNAAAGTATTTAGCTTTCTATATTTAATATAAAGTATTAGCCCAAATTTAAGTCAGTCCTGAAAATAAGTTGTGTGACAATTTTGGAATCCTTATTTTCTGAAAAATTAGAACCTTTATATAAATTAACTTATTATATTAATTTTACTTGCATATGAAAACATTAGCAATTTATATTAAAAAAAATTCGGAAAGTCATTGAAACAATACTTTATCAGAACTTTCATTGTCATCATGCTGTTTCCTGTTTAATTGTAATTATTACTGATTCCTGTTTTATTGTCATTATGACCTTTAGCCTCTTTGAATATTACATTATCCTCTGTTCTGTCCAAGTTATTGGTAACACAACATTTCTTAAAGCCTTTTACAAAATAGTGTCTTCACCAATAACCTTTTGTAATTCAACTGTTATTCTACAAGAATATATGGAATTTTTGTTACTTTCTATCTATGCCATTGATTATGAAAATTAGTTATGTTCAATTACATTTCTTTCCTTTCAAAATTACTTTAGTTAGAAATAAAAATTTTTTGAATTTGTATTTAGAAATATATGAAAGCCAATTAGCAAAAATTAATTTTTGATTGTTCTCAGCTTTACAAATCACATTTAAATTACACTTAATCAATCAGAAAATTGTATTCAAATTGACTTTTTTGACATATATTTCTCAAATGAATATTCTTATCATCATCATCATCATCATAATTTACTGGTTAAAAGATAAGCAATTATATTTTTAAGCTAAACATTATAGTAATAATCAATGTAAAATCTTCAAAAAAGTGAATAATAAAACTTTGCTTCATAAGGCTATAAATAATATTTATAGTATGAAATTGTTTATTTTATTTCTGAAAATTAAAAGAAAATGGTAATTTTTAACATTTCATTAACTTAATGAAAACAAGACTAATATNGAAATTATAACTTATTGATTCTTTTTTTGTTGATAGCAATAAAAGTGAAGTTAATAATAGTTAGAGAGCCAAAGTGAGACAATATTCTATGCATTGGATAGTAGGCTGCCCAGCATATATGTCATGCCAGGGAAAGGAAGCTTTCTTGCATATTTCAGCATATTTCATGTGTATTCCACAAAATGTACTTTCAGTTTTATGACTATTGAAAACAAAAACGAAACATTTTCATGTTTGCTTGCCTTAATTTTTTATAACTGTCTAAGGCATTTTTTTATAAAGTCTACAATATGAGAAAAAAAACTCAGCCTGTTCCAACTTTAGATGATGATTAAAAACATTCAAACAACACTAAAATCAAGAAAGGATTATTTTATTCTTACATTTCTTCATAAAATTATAAGTTATCTATCAAATGCATTTTGACACTTCAGCTTCTTCGGTGATAATACAATTCAGTCTATGTGCAGTATATTTGTAATTATGTTGGGATAGTTTTGTAATTACAAATCTATCCCAACATGCATTAACATTAATGCCATTATTTAAATTAATATTACAGTAGAACCTTGCTTAACAAGCATAATTCATTCCAGAATCTTACTCGTAATGCGAAACACTCATTGGGCAAAACAATTTTTTGTATATAAATTAATATAAAATACAATAATGTGTTCCATGGCAAAAAATACTCAAATATTTATGTATAATGTTTGTAAAGTAATATATTATTTTTCCGACTTTTCCAACGATTATCGACACGCCTGTGTGCCGGAAATAGCCGTTCCCTAATGGGTACTTTACGCAGATTTGCGTTAGTGTGCCAGGCCTGGACTTTGTCATTAAGCGTGCACCGAATTAAATAAAGTTTGTTAAAAACAATCCAATATTTAATAAAATTTCTAGTAATAACTATATACAAAATTTAGTAAAAATCAAATAACAATTTATTCAACATAAATCAATAAGAATTTAACCCGACAAAACTCAATCTATTTTCTAACTTAACTCTATTCCCCTTTGGAATTCGACAAAATCAAAGACTTAACTTATATACAATAATTCTTATGAATTAAAGATCCTAATTGTCACCTCAATATACTAGGAACCTTTTTCCACAACTCTAGACTTTCTCTAATCTTCGATCCACAAATTGAATAACTTCATAATCACCTTAGAACTACTTTATCCTATTGGACACCACTCTCTCGTTTGCTGCTACGAAGCTCACCATGCTTGTTGCTAACAGAAGCTCACCTCGACCATCTTCACTTGAGATTC